CAAAGATTATAAAAATGTAGAAACTCAAAGTCCTTTGATAATGACTTCATTTAAAAAAATTAAATGCTTAGATGTCTTTGTTCCTCTGTTTTCACAAAGGTCTGGAGACTTTTCAAATATCTTTTATTTGTTGCAATTTACTAGAGAGATGGAAGCTGTTTTGATCTTTCAGGTTTTGGACTATATGTTCAAGCAAAAGCTCAGTCCTATATAGTAACAGAGCAATAGCAAATGTGATATATGTATAATATGTTAAATCCCATTACTGTGACAACTTGCTTCAGAAATTCACATGAACAAGATACATTAATATACTTATTATTTCATAAAGGTTTCTATTCATGAGAGGTAGCCAAATGTTTACTGAACAATAAAAACCTGATGCACATTGATATCCATGTGTTCCAAAGCTCTTGGAGCCAGAGAGCTTTGCTGAAGAACAGAAGCAAACCTTTATGCTTCTTGCTGAACTGAAGGCAGGAAACTGCCTGGAGACAAAACAGCAAGTGAAGCTTGAGAAGCTTATGCAGTTTTTCCCTGGTGATCAAGTGGAGTTGAAGTACCAGGGTTATAAGAAATAAGGTTCTGCAACATATCCTTTTGTTGACCTGGAAGATAATGTACATTCTTACAGTGCTCATCAGAAAGCAGATGTAATGATCTTAAGCTCTTGAGGCAATACTTACATCCACCTGCCAGCAGCAAACTAGTAAGCTCTGAGCAGAATGTATGTTGCTTAAACTTGCTCTGAAATGGGTCTGTTGAAAGTGCATCATTATATGGATCTTTGATATCTTGGGAAATCTGTGTATGATCTTTCTTCCTCCTGAGATTCATTTCTAAATCCAGGGCAATGACACATCAACAAAAAAAATTATGTTTGTTCTTTCAGTTCCATACTACACTTATTTTCCAGCAGAAGTCTTTGGTCCCTGCTGTAAATCTTTCCAATACTCCATCTCTCAGATATAGGCAAAATCTTTTTAGAGGGATTTTTATTTTAAACCCTGCTATGAAACACAAAGACTCTAATAATAAAGCTGCCACTCTCAAGTCAAAAGAGGAAAAAAAGGGGCAGAAGGGTGCTCCTTTTTTGGCTAGCCAAAATCCAAACCTAGTCCACATACACAGCCAGCAAAAGAGGCACAAAAAGGCTGCCCTGTTTGTGTTATGGGAGATGCCTCAGGCTTCTCACAGTGAAGCACCACTTGGGGTGGTGGAACAGCTGATAGAGAAAGGCACCAGCACACACTGCAGTCACAAAAAAGCCTCGACTGTAACAGCCTCTGGTGCACCCACCTGGGGCAGTTTTCCCAAATATTTCTACAGGGAAGAGCAGGCCTACTCAATTAGCCAGGCAAGACGTTTGGCATCAGGCCTACAACTACCAACTATCACCAGTGGTTAAAACCTCTGTTGGCAGCCAAACTTTTGCACAGGGGAGTTTGTCAAAAACTCTGCTTCCAGTTCTTCTTTGGCTAACCTTCTCTTTGGGGCAATCGCCCTTGCCTGTTCCCTTATACTTTCTACAGTATCAAAATAAAAAATACTGTGTTCAGTTTTGGGCCCCTCACTTTCAAAAGGGCATTGAGGTGCTGCAGTAAGTCCAGCCAAGGGCAACAAGGCTCATAAAAAGATCTAGAACACATGTTGTATGAGGAAGGACTGAGGGAATTGTGTTTGTTTAGCCTTGAGAAGAGGTTCAGGGGTGACCTCATTACTCTGGACAACTCCCTGACAGGGGGTTGTAGAGAGATGGGGGTTGGTCTCTCCTGTCATGCCTGCAGGGAGAGGACTAGAGGGAACAGTCATAAGCTGAGACAGGGGAGATTCAGATTAGCCATTAGAAAAAAAATTCACTGTTAGGGTGGTCAGGCACTGGAATAGGTTGCCCAGGGAGGTGGTGGAGTCACCAACCCTGGAAGTGTTTAAGAGGCATCTGGATCTGATGCTGGAGGATATGGTTTAAGGTTTAGGGGTTACAGTGGAGTGACAGGTTGACGGTTGGACTTGATGACCTTAAAAGGCCTCTTCCAACCTCGATGATTCTACGAAAACACTAAAAACATGTTGGCAATTTGCTAACACAACACAATATTACAATGCTCAGTATTGCTATGAGTGATGAAACCTTAAACAGTTTTTATGATATAGACAAGGAAATCAACAATGTGGATGCTGACGTATGCTTTCAGGGAGCAGTTCTGAGGTACCAGCCTGTGGCACCCCTAAGGGATGCCCAGCCTCCCTGCCTTCCTGCTGCCACAGAGAAGTCCCAGAGGAGGACATGGAGTGATGCCCTTCACTGGCAGCTCAGCTCCATTCTGCCACACCTGAGAGTGCCCAAGGATGGCTAGGATCCCGTGGCTGGGAAGCCAGAGTAGCAAGAAGGAGGTTGGACCCCTAGGACAGTGCAAGAGCTTACTTATTAAAAAAAAAACTAACTGAAAACCATCTCCATAAAAGAGAAGAAGGAATGAAAGGAGTCCAGCCGAGGTAGAAATTAAATTCACCAAATAGAGATGGAGGTCACACATCTGAGGAAAACTCCAGATGTCACCCATGCCGTGCGTTCAGACTTTCCCCTTAGCTCCCCAAGGAACAAGAGGCACATGGAAGACTATCTGCCAAGGACCACCAGCCCTTTCACGTGCTGGCACACCTGGCCACAAAGCTGGATCTGCCAACCTGTTACAGTGACCCATGGTTTCCCTGTCAGAGACAAGTTCAGCTTGGCTGTCTCTGCAGCATAAAATCATAGAATCATTTAGGTTGGAAAAGACCTTTAAGAGTCCAGTAACTTAACAGTGCCAAGTCCACCACTAAACCAAGGCTTTAAGTGCCACAACCACACATCTTTTAAATTCTTTCAGGGATGGTGATTCAATCACTTTCCTGGACAGCCTGTACCAATGCTTGACAACCCATTCCATGAAGAAATTTTTCCTACTATGCAGTCTAAACCTCCCCTGGTGCAACTCAAGGCCATTTCTTTTTGTCCTTGCACATGCTACTTGGAGAAGAGAAAGCACAGTGAGACCCTGGGCCTGACTCATCTGGCAATCACCAGAGCACTGGAAAGCTGTAATTTGCTGTGATTTTTCATGCTAGAATCAGCTGTGTGCTGTAGGCATGTAGCCAAATGGAAAATAAACCCATGCTCAGGTTTGGGGATTTTGAATTTATTTGAATTTATTTGAAAGTGTGTAACTCATTAGCTGTCCTGAGGACCACATTTGCTGTTGGCAACAGCACAAGGCAATATTCCCCTGGCTGTAACAGCAGTAATTGAGTGGTCCTGATAGTGAGGAGTAAGTGGAGAAGCTAAGGAGTTGAGTTAGACAGTTGGGGTTTCCATCCCCAAATACCCTCATCTTGGTGAGACCACATGGAGACTTCTCTGAGCTTGACATTGATTTTGGGTGTACCTCTACAGCAGTGAAGACACTGAGCTGTCTAGAAGCACAAACAGGGCACGCTTGGTCTTAAAAATACTCTCACCTGCCCTACTTCTCCCCCCTTTCCCCAGACTCCCAAAGGAAGTAATTTATTGATGATTGTTTCCAGAACTAACTGAGAAGAGCAAGGACATAAGTGTTAAACACACAAACAAGGATGTGTAGGGATGGAGCCTTATTTGAGACTGTAGTAGTTGTAGCATAAAGGAAATAAAATGTCTTCAACTTCCAAAGTTCTCCTGTCAGATGGATCTGTAATTAAATCATTTGCACAACAAATAAACCAACTGACAGTTGCTAAAATTTTAGGTAACTGATTACTCTCCTTCGCACAAAAAGTTAATGAGATGTTTTGGCTAAATGTTAAATGATGTTTCCCTAAAGCTATTCCAAAAATCTAAGTTTAGAGTTGATTGGTACAATGCCACAGATGCTGCAGATGGTTAAGGGACCCTCTCATATTGTTTTATCATTATTTATTAATAATGTTTAAAAATGTATCAACAATAGAATTTAGCCAGTTTCTATGTGTCTCTGCCTCTACTCAGCTTTCATTCACACTGAGCAGAACCTTATTCTACAAGTAATCAGCATCACTGACTTTTAGAAACTCTATTGAATAATCCTTTTTTCTGTCATGGCAGAAGACTTAAAAACTGTATTTACAGAAAGTAAACTTAATGAACTTTTTACAGTCTTAGCTATACACTGGTAGAAATATTTTTTATTGTAGGATAAGAAGTTTTAAAACAAGTTCTACTTTAATATGGTATTTGAATTTATTTGAAAGCATGTAACTCATTAGCTGTCCTGAGGACCACATTTGCTGTTGGCAACAGCACAAGGCAATATTCCCCTGACTGTAACAGCAGTAATTGAGTGGTCCTGATAGTGAGGAGTAAGTGGAGAAGCTAAGGAGTTGAGTTAGACAATTGGGGTTTCCATCTCCAACTGCATGATGGGAGAAAACGTGAACAAGCCTAGGACTGTGGCTGACAATAACAAATGCATTCCCCGGAACTGAGGAGAAAAATGATGGATGTTCTCCATTGCACAACTGTTGAGCATCATTTCTTACAACAGCTTGTGCAAATGGAGCCCAGGAGGACTGAAAATGCCCAGTTTTCTCATGGAATCACAGAATGGTTTGGGTTGGAAGGGACCTTAGAGATCATCTAGTTCCAATCCCCCTGCCTTGAACAGGACACCTTTGCTTATGTTGACATTTAATATCATAACTTGCTTGATATTAAAAGTTGAAGTCATCAAAAGTTTCAACCATCAAATTAAAATTGGCAGCAGAAAGTTCAACCATCGCTCACTTAGCAAGCTCATCTCTCTGACCTGCAGGTTTCACCTTAACAACCCTGTTTGAAGGGAATGGGTTAAAAAAGAAGGAAGAATTTAGCCTCAGAGGGTGGGATTTCTGAAATCACCACTGTCACAATTTCAGGATGGTGGAGTCAAATTAAAAACTGTTAAACCTCAAGTCTGATCTTTAAGACACAAAGAACAATAACAAAAGTAAAGGTTGGCACCTACCCACTTCAGCCAAAGTCTTGATACATGACTCCACTGAGGCTTTCTGTGTTGGGTTTGGCCAGGTACAGTTGTAAATTCTAAAAGCAGACTGCAGCAGCTGAATAAAAACAGGTTGGTGTGTCTGAAAACGAAAAGATAAACATGGAATTTTACCCTTAAGAATCTCACAACTGCTCTAGGGTTTGATACAACATAAACCAAGGGGGTTTTAGCTTGTAGACTCAAGTTACAACTCCATTAAATTCTCTTTGATCTTTAGGACTGGCAGGAACATAAATCAATGCTGCACCTCTAGAAAGGCCAAATGATGCAATTTTTCCTCATACCCATTGATATCAAGCAAACACAAGAGAGAGCAGAAGGATGGAGGAGTCTTCCCCATTCTCAGGACACAGCAGTACAAGGCTAGACCATTATTCTTCAAGGATACCCCCTCCAGTGAATTCACAAGAGCCAGAAGTAAATCTGACCACATTGAGCTGTCTACAGTTCAGAGATCTAAGTGATTAAAATTAAGAGTAAGCATTTTAAAGAGGAATAAAGCTGCTAGTCATTGGCATGAGAGGGGACAGAAAAATTAAAGGAGGCTGAAAAGATCCAGCATTCCTGTGCGGTAGCAGAAGGTATCTCATTAATGGTCTGAATAACATATTTGTCTGTGTCTCTTTTCCTTACCTGGAGGCTGGTGCTGTTATCTGAGAATGGTGAATTGAAGAAGCCACTCACAATGCTCATTACAGGCTCAGTGACATATTTCTCTAGAGATGTGTCTGCATGTTTACGATCCGTGGTTGTGTTACAAACCTACAGGGAAGAAGGAGGAAACAATGGGATTTGGTTCTTTTCAATAAGCAAGCTTCATTATTTTGTATTTATTGCAACACATGTGTATTTCTTCTTAACACAAAACCAAAAGATTTTTATACAAATTCTATCAGAGCTGTATTTGTGATAGCTTATCTGTCTTCTTGGAGGTCCATACTGTCTTTTGAATACACTTTCTCCTGAACTAGCTCTTTCTGGCTGGCTGTTTGTTCTTTCCCACACCATGAAGAAAAGATCCCCCTAAGTCAGCACATTACATACCACTTACACATTTAGGCAGATTCAAGAAGAAAATGGACCTTTCCTCCCACTGTGGGACTGTTTGGAAGATGCTTTAGAGACAGATGAGACATAAACAACTAAGGTTAGAAAGATTTCATGTAATATTTAACTTCTCTCTACAATTAATCACCACAACTGGGTGGCAAAGGTGAAGCTCATTTGCAGGAATAATGTTTAAAAAGGAGGAAAATAAAGGAAATAGCACAGTCAATACCAACAGCCTTTAGGATTGTATTGTAAGACAGGCAGCATTACTTAGAGAAGCCACAGGAGGAAAATACAAAAGCCAAGCTAAAACAATGAAAGAAGAGAATGGATGGTAGTGGGACAACTCTGGAGCACAGAAGGATGATTAAATGGTGGGAGGATGGGGGAAGATTTGTACAAAAGATTCCTGAAGACTCCCTTCGGTACGACACTAAAAGTTTGTTGCAACATAAAGATGTCACACTTAAAGAAAGGAAAAGATTACTGGGGTGGATTACATCCCTCAGTATTTCCTTTATTTCTTTTCAACACTTTTGAACATCTATACAGTCGTGTTGACTTTGCATATGTCATTGTACACAGTACTGAAAGGAGTCTACAGAGAGCCAAACACAGTGAGAAGGGCGAGACTGGACAATTAAAGAGTACACACTGTAGTCATCCTACCTCTTCAACGGCCTTTAAATCAGCAGTTCTAGTCATGTTTAACAAGGAATTAAGGCAAAGTTTTCACTTTCACCTATGCAAGCCAAAGATGACTGCAATGTTCTAGGGAATCTATGCAAAACCAGAAATTCTTTCGTACATAGACTCCTGGGATACTCTTCTCCTTACGTATCTGACCGTTTAACACACAATCATGAACCTGAGGGGCACATACTTACCACTACATCACTTTACAGATCGGGAACTGAAGTCCAGAGAAGCTGAGTGAATTGCTTAAGGACACAGAGAAAAGTTGGTGACAGAAACAGAAAGATAGTCCACAGCACCTGAATCTCACACAGGGCAAAGATAATCTCTAATTACACATTGCCACTGTCATACTTGGACACTACAAAACAGCAATTTCACCAGGAATGTTTTAAGGAAGGTTAGTGACATGACATCCAAAAGCACCTATGTTCAGGGGATGATACAGCTCATGGAAGCACAGAAGCACTTTGAGTCTAACACACAAGCATTGTCATATGGTAGGCAGAGGAATAACTTGAGGCCTAGAGAAATGAGGCATCTTGATGAGCTTTGCTTGTCTGCTTATCTAAAATGTGTCAGATAAACAAGTCATGCCTCCACAATAGTGTGTTTTTTATCACATCAAGAAATGAAGGATTTTGGTCAGAGAAGTAAGAGTGGCTGAAATGAAATAGCAAACTCTTCAGCCCTTCAGTTTTGGGAGAAGTGTGACACCATCACCACCCCCAGTCCTCATGAAGGTAAACAATTCAGTTACTAATCAAAACTTTTTCAAAACAATATAGTAAAATCATAGAACTAAAACCCACTTGAAGTTCTTCTGCTTTTAATTAACCTGTGTGCCAGTTTTGGCTGGAACCAGTAGCTCTGAGGCTTAGCCCTTGCAATCCCAGTAGGAAGACAGGGAGCTGTGCAGTGCCAGCATGGTATGTTCAGAAATCACCAAAACTAAATTCCAAAACACTTTAAAGATTTCCCCTTCAGTTGCCTGAAAAGCAGAGCCATATGTGGGGATGCCACTCTGCTCCAACACTGGTCTGAAAAATTCCCAGCGCAGAAGGAATTTGGAAATACTCTCATTTGTTCCTATCCCTCTGCCCTTTGGGGACTGAAAGATGTTTCCACGTGGAAGGAAAAAAAACCCTGAAATGCACGAAATGGAGATGAGGATTGAGAAAGCAGTGTTTAAAAACCCCTTAAGAGGCTTTGGGACCAAAACTCACATGAATAATACTTCAAAAATTCTGCAGAGAAAGCCAGGATGACTTTACAGCTGTCAGATCCCAGTTCAGTCTTTAATCCTGCTCAGACTACAGCTACTGACTTACAGGCTGGGCCACACACAGGAGAGGGAAGCCTCTCCTTCAGCAGCACCCACTGTGCTCAGTGCAACGCTCTCAGTCACACACAGGAGAAAGTAGGTTGGCAGAAGCTGTAGAAATCGGGTGTCTTTGAAAGCACGACTGCTTTTGGCAAACCCAATTTATACACAAATCTGCCTC